CTTCTCTTCTCTTCTCTTCTCTTCTCTTCTCTTCTCTTCTCTTCTCTTCTCTTCTCTTCTCTTCTCTTCTCTTCTCTTCTCTTCTCTTCTCCTCCTAACAAACTCTGTTGTAATTCATTCACTTTCCTCTCCCAGGTGCATCCAGGTGAACACCCAGTACACGAGTACATGCGCGGGAGGTGGAGGGGTTGGGAGCTGGGGGGTTGCGTAAAGGGAGGAAGAACACCAAAAGGTAAGAGCAGCACAGGTGTTCTGGGGGAGGGGGTTGGGGGATGACAACAATGTGTGTGTAGGTGTGTGTGACAGGAAGAAGCCATATGTGCTTTATAAGGTGGCGCTTTTGAGAGAAAGGAATGTTACACATCCAGATTATAACAGACCACCCCTTCAAACTAAAAGGAAGTGAGTTTAACCTACAAGTCAAACACACACTTAAACCTGCACACACACACACACTGCAGTCATCAAGCTCTGATATGAATTAAGCATCCTGACTAGTTCCTGTCTCATGTTACGTCGTCCTGAGGGGTCTGCGGATCATTTCCTGTTCCTTATGTAATGTTTTCTTTCTGTTTAAGGTCATACAGATTTATTTGGCCTTTGCTGCTCTACCAGTGTTTTATAGAGAGCGACCTATTCAGACACAGGAAGGGAGACCTCGGGAATTTGAACTGTTGAAATAAAGAGACTAAAGCGCCTAGCTGGTCTTTTACAGACTGCATAATGTTAAAAAAAATATCTTCAAATTCAGCTTATAAGTGATCGGTCGCTATTGTAAGCAGTTAAAAAAAACCCCACATACAAACCTATCTCCTGTTTAGATATGTGCATGTGATTCACCAAACTGTTTGGTAGCAGATGCTTTCTGGTTTCATTTGTAGTCCACTTGTAGCTTGAGTTCTATTGAACTCATGTATGTATGTCAAGAGCAAAAAAAACCCCAACTGTATTTATTGAAAATCATCTAGCTCCAGATTGAGGGTCTCATTAACTTTTAAAATCCACCTTAGGTTTGTAAACAGTGACCGGTAGATGGAAATCTTGACCTACAGAAGCATATCAACCTTTTTGGGATGTACACATGCAGCACTACTGTGAGTAATGGGGTTGGTGCCCAAGAGGAGGATGCTAGGGACAGGGTCAGACCGAGGCAGATGATCCGCTGTGGCGACCCCTAAAGGGAGCAGCTAAAAAGAAGAAAACGATTAACTTTGAGTAGCGGAAACTTTGGGTCAGAAATGAAGCAGTATATAATATATTTTTTACATTGAAGTAGTGGCTCAAACTGTGGGGCAGACACCACTAGAGGGGCATAGAGCCACTGGGGGGGGGGGGGGGGGGGGGGTAATTGTTGGTGCTGCTATCTTTATGTCAGTATAAGTCAACTTTTTTAGTGGTAATAATTCATATTAGTATAAATCCTCTGGGTTTGTGATCGTTATGATGGCACGGTGTATAAGTGTGTGTCTGTGTTATGTAGTTGAAACAGTAACGACACAAACAGCTCGGTATATTTAACAATATATATTTCCATTGTCAATGTACATTCCATTTCGACATAAGCTTTCTTCACAAACAAAAAGTTGGCATCTAAATAAATACTATATAAAATAGAACTTCAAAATAAATATATCTATAAAGGGAACCTTTTATATGAGATTTTTGTCTTTTTGTTATATCTACACAAAACAAAAGCACAGATCTTGTTTCTCAATACCCAACAATGACATTGTAAAGGTATAAAAGAATGGAGTAGCATCACCCAACTGTTTGAGACCTTTCCTCTTGTTTGGGTTTAAATAAAAAAAAAAAAAAAAAGGAAAAGAAAAGAAAACTGTGTTCACAAATGAATGACACACAGGGGGATTGGTGTGTAAAAGTCACAGCGTAAAGAAAAGGTTTTAATGTTTGAGCTGTTGGATGATTATTCCACACCTTAAACAGGATAGCGAGTACGTGATTGTATAAAGCCAACATGAAGTTAGGAGCATTGCTTTTGCAGTGATGGAGCTGAGTAACAGCAAAAGAAGAAAAGAAAAAAGGCAGCAACTGTTGGAAATAAATGTCCTCTGGTGAGAAGAGATGGCGCAGAACACAACTGGAGAGGAAAAACCAAGTCGAGAGTGAAAGAGAGACAGACATGTCTTTCCATGTCTCTGTGGTATGACAAGTTTATGCACAGCAGCTGTGTTTGTCAATCATGGAAGGTCAGGGATGTTTGTTGGGCAATTTCTCGGGGCAGGAAAGAGAGAAGCGAGGAAGAAAGAAAAGCAAGAAGAGAAAAAGAGGGAGCTGAAACACCGAGGAGTAACGGCAGGAAATGGGCTGATGGGGGTAGATTGTGCTCCCTGTGTGGATTCAATGAGTCCACAGTCTTTAGGACTCGGAGAGGAACCAGGGAATTAGCTTAGCCTCTCGACTGCTAATGAGCCATGGATAGCATAAACAGCAGGAGTTTTTTTTCTGCTTCTTCTCCTTTTTTTTTCTTCTTTAATTTATTGCCGGGCACACTTTTCTAAATCAAGTGCTAGTAATAGAAACGTCTGCTATTTCTGTTACCCCTTTCCCCAACCTTCTTCTTGAAACTCTCCTTTTTTCCTTTTCCTCACAACCACAAAAACATCGTATTCTTACCCTCAAAATATATATCTAATATATTCTCTATATATTTTGTACTGAATCGTAGCTATAATGTACCATGCAATCTTTCAAGGACATTTAAAAGTGTCTTCTAAAGAACACAAATGTTGTGAAACTATTTACAGCAAATAACATTTCACCTGCATAGCTCTAGTACTAAATATATTGTCAAAACATTTGTGATTTTTGCTGCCCACCTAGAGACGACCAGGCATTTGCCCGGTTCCGCAACCAATCCCATTTTGGCACCTTTTCTCTCAGGCTGAATTGCTAGGTTTTGAAAATATTGCCTCATACATTAAAGACTAAGGACCATGTGTGTTTTTTCCCTCCCTTTCCCCCCGTCTGATAGCTTTGTGCAACTAGACAAGTACAAGTAAAAGCAAAGTTAGGCACCCTAATGAAAGTCACAGGTCCGATGTGAAGCAGAGATGTGTGTTATGGAGTCGCAAAGACAGTACGCTTTTATGCCAAACGGAAATGGCCATCTGTATTAAAGGGCAGCCCACCTTTAATAATGACCAGCTGCCGTCAACACCACGTGGCCAGACTGGCGTGACTGTGATCATTCTGACAGGAAAAGCATGCTACTGTATAACAGCTTCCTTTGGCAAAGTCCTAAAAATGTCACGCAAGCCACAAAAATAGAATTTAAGAATTAAAAAAAGAGGCTATTCAACGTATGCAGCTACGCGGCATAATGATTTAAACGTGATGAAGACGCTCTGTGTGTGGGGGCAGTGGGGTGGGGACTAAATGTAGTGCACACCAACGTAATGTGAGATAGCTGAGGTGGTTAATACTGTGCTTTAGTACATCCTTTAAGGGGTTTGCGTCTTCCTAAAAAGGTTGTGCAAGTGGCAGGTTTACTCTACAAAGGCTGACTGCAGACATACACAACAGCGACTTTGCTATGCCTTCTCTTCCCCCTCTTTGCTCTCTATCACTTGCACCCCCTCTCGTCTGGAAACACTTTTTTCTGGCCAGTTTGTCTCTAGCTTAGCTTACTCGTTTTAAATGATTCACTCTTGCCTTTTTGCCCCTAAATATTTCTTTGCCTTTTTGTTTTTTTTGTGCAAAGAGGAAGTAGACCAGGCTCTTAGGCAGTTTAGTAATCAACATGCGTGTAGGCCAAGTTCTAGAGAGGATTACTGTAACTGTCCCTGAGAAGGTTGAGTGTACTTTACTTTTTTTTTTCTTTAAACACATTTCTCTACTACAAATCGACTTCTAGTACAGTGGGTAACCATTAGACTAAAGCATGCAAGTCATGACATGCATTATGTCAAAGGTGACTGGTGAACAGCATTCAAAATATTTGAGAATGTCTAGGCTTCACCACCTCGTAGTGGAAAACACACTGTAAGGTGATCATCTCAACTGCTTATGCACAATACATGGTGGGAGTTAAGGGGAATTGCTATTATTTTAAAGTCTAGAAAGGTTTGTTTTTACAGCTCCACTCTGGACATAAAAACTCAATGGAGATCAAATGTTAGCAATACCAAGGTAGCATCTTTCAGGTGTAAGAGAGGGGAAACGCTAAAAGATTGGTGGCCACGATAACCTTGGAGCGAGTGAGTAGTTAAAAGTGTTAGTTTCACTCCTGCAATGGCCTGTCATTGAAACCACGCTATAGATAATCACTTGTTTTCATGTTTAACGCTGGGCTGTGCTTTTGGGTTGGGGTGGGGAGTGGGGGGTAGGGGCTAAGTATAGATATTAACCATCCATCAATAATTTCTATGTATTCTGTGGATCAGCAACCAGCTTCTGTTTAGTAAGCATTACAAAATTAGCTGAGAAATATTGAGCAGCAGAGAGGTACAATGACTTTGTGCCTACGGCCATCTTCGCAAAACACAAATACCAGTCCCACAAGCTTGTCTCTTGTTCTTTTGTCACTCTTACAAAGAAGAACAAAAACATCTCAGAGGGCCTGTTGGCTATTCCTACTTGCCACCTCCCTCATATAAGGCCCATTTTTGATCATACACCCTATTAAACATCTTTGTACCTTTGTTTTACATAAGTCATCTTCCAGCAGTTTAACGGGATAGTTTAATGGGTTGGTGTTGGATTGTCCAATCCATAGAGAGCAAACAAGTATGGTATAGTCCAGTCCACTTTTTTTTTTTTTTAGCAAGGTCACCACCACACAGTTTGGTCCACTATCATGATCCCTGCTGCTGCTTCTCCAGAGTGCCAGATTTTGCTTCTGTGGCTCCACTTTTACACACGGGGACACTCACGCCGCTCTGTGAGTTTTTACAGCGGCAGCCAGGCCTGCTAATATTGTCATAACATTTCTGTCCCAGTTTGGCTAGGCCCATCGCTGGTAGATAGCAAACCAGGCAAGGCAGGACGAAAGAAAGGGCAGCCATGAAGGACCAGCGTGCACAACAGTTGGCCTGCGAGCACGAGCAGGGCTTGTCGGCACAGGAGCCCTCATCATCCTCGTCTTCGGTGCAGTGGTAGAAGATCCCTTTGACCAGGCACATGCAGGTGGCGGTATCTACCATGCTCTGAGCAGAGCACAGGCACTCCTGGTTGCAGACCCAGCAAGAAGGAAGGGTTCGGGGAAGTGTGCATTCTGTGCACCTGCACTTCCCACAGTGCTCGCAAAGAAGGAGGTGCTTCTTCTCGGTCGGAGAGGAAGGAATCACTGCCAACCCTTGCTGACCTCCAACGGAGCATACACCTCCCACAGGCATCTTTGCGGACTTGAGGTCAAGGGATTTAGAGGAGGAGGAGCAGGACGAAGCAGAGGAGGAAGAAGTGAGGACCTTAGATTCTGAGGAACTGAAGCAGCCTGGAGTTTGGGTAGTGATTGTACTGATGGGGCCGGGGTGAGGGTGCAATTTAGGGTGGTGGTCCACTGTTGGAGTGGGCGCAGCGTGTTCCAGCAGCCTCTGGTCAGATGAGGTACTGCTGCTGCTGCTGATAGAGCTGGGCCTTCCACTGAAGGAAATCCAAGGGTGGGTGGTGGTGTCCTGATGAAGGTGGGGCTCGCACCTACTATGCTGGGGAGGTTGGTGTTGGTGATTGTGATGATGGTTGTGGTTTGCACCAAGAAAGGCTTCTTGATTCTGACCTAGCCAGGTGATTCTTGGGTTCAAAGATTTCTGGCTGGGAGGCTGCTGAGAAACAACAGCAGGGCTGTCAATGTAATCGTTCTCCACGTGTGATGACTTTATCTGGTCGATGGGGTAAATAGTGACAGGGTGCTGAAGACGACCGTAGGGCACACGACTGTCCAGCAGGGGTTGAGATATGAGGGAGGAGGACACTCCGGGGATGTGGTGGGGAACCCTGGACTCCATATGTAGGCTGGTGCCTCGACTTCTCTCTAAAGCAGCATTTAGCAATACTGCAGAAACAGATACAAAAGAGACATTTCAGACTAATCTCATCTTAAAATATAAAAAAAAATGGCAATAAACTAGAGAATTAAAGATGGTTAGATGTCAGATCAACACCTCTAACAGCATGCGAACGTGACATTTGATATAAGTAGTTCACTTCACAGAAAACAAATACTGAATCTTTAAAACAAGTCTCTCCATAGAAATCTTTTTTTTCTCCAGACCGGATCTTTGCAATTATTTGAATGTAGAGTTTCCAAACCATGGTGATTTTTAGACTGAATACCGACAGGGTATTCAGTCTAAGCCTCCTCCATTCTAACTTTGACATTAGAACAATAGAAGTTGGGCTCTCACTGCCTCCCCTCCAAAGAGCAGGGAGCACCAGAGAGCAGGGTTTGCATGCAAAAGACTCAAAGATGCAAAACAAGGCAAAGTAACAAGAAGGTTGCCAGAAAAGAGACTTCAACGGTGACTAAATGAATGCAAGAGGCAAAGGAAATTAGGTCTTTTTATAGAATCACAGCTATTTCATGTAATACAAGTTGACCTAATGTTGTATTTTTAAATTTGATCTGTCAGTGTGCAAACTGCATAAACACGAATTTGAATCAGAGATCAGACCCTGGGATTTGTGAATGGGGCTGATTTTATGAACTGCAGTTTTTTGTGAATGGGCTGCTGGCTGCACTCGGTGTTGCAAGCATGAATCAAGACGCTCCAGTCATGGTGAGGCTGAAAGAAATCGGTTTCATCCGTTTCATCAATGAGCGCTCGGCAGATTTATTTTATCCATTTTATTTACATATATATGGACGAAAAGCAGCTCACCGACCTACTGTCTACAGTATTCATTTGGGTTACCTTATAACAAAATATACCGACGAAAAAATCAGCTTGTTCAGATCATTTTCGTTTGATTATGCTCGTCTTGTGATTTATTGGGCTTGCGCACATCACCCAGCAAATATATACATCTGTATTATTTTTTCGTAAATGTATCAGTGGTAGACACAGCTTTGCTTGACCGTCAGCTGTCAGTGTGATTCTCCCATTCCTCATATTTTCAGAAGCCCGGTTGAAAACCTGTTGCGACATAGCTGGCACCGACACAAGCGCTTGTGATCGTCAAATCTAGACTATTATAAGCTCCAAGCCGGAACTATGCGTGTGCAAGCCCGAATGTGTGCGTGTGTGTGTCTATGTGTGTGCGCGTCCCTCCCTACATGTCAATGACTGAGTCATAAAAACCGGAGGCGGCAGCTCGACTTACACAAATAGCATGTTTATATAGGCGTTATAAGCAGGTATTCAAACAGTTTTTGTAAAATGTCAAAAAAACACACAAGCTTAATAAAGGAAATGGTACATTGCGTGCCACCAGACACGGGAATGTAGAGTCGTTTTGATAGGCGGCTGTTCGGTGCGTAGCTGTGTGTGTAAAGCTGGACATTATACGTCCACGGCACTCAAAAAACCAAAACGCAAAAAACAACAACAACAACAACAACAACAAATGCATTGTAGAAAATTAATACAAGATTTGTCGCAGCCAATGGGCTAAAACGAAAAAACTAATGGCATAAACACCTGACACCATCGATGGCGTGCCAGCCAGGCAGTCGCTGCAGAGCGAGAAGGACACACGCAACCGAACCGCCCGAGAGATAAACGTACCTACAGGCTTTGGAGAGAAGGGCGAATCACGCAGAGATTGAAGTGTGGGTCTGCCCCGCTGCTTTTTATTGTGTCTTTGAAAAAAAATAAAGACAAGAAAAAAAAAAGGGGGGGGATGTACGAAGCGATGCGACAGCCGCTGAAATGCGTATTTGATATAAAAAAAAAGAAAGAAAAGAAAAAAAGCGGCGGTTTGGACTACGCGTCGTTCTCCATCTCTGATACCTTCACCTTGCTTTTGGTCCGAAGTCGGTGGTTAAATATTGACCTAAACTGCAAACCCTCGGAAACAGCTTGTTGCAAAATAGAATTTGCAGGAGCGTTTTAGTGCACGCGATTGAGTAGACTGAGAGGACCAGTCAAGTGAAGGCAACACTGAACAGTACCGAACAGTTTCTCTTTACAGTGACACACTTACTAGTTACAAACATCTAGAGATGAAAGAAAGGAAAAACACGAGAGGTGATCACTTACTGTTGTTTCAGGATACAATTTTCATCTCTCCGCTGCGCGCGACGTTTACGCACAGGCTTTATTCCAAGGCAGCGAGTAGCTCCAGGAATAATGGATAAAGATAAGTCCAAACTTTACAGGGTAATAAGAACAAGGTATGGGGACGGCGAACTGGTGCCCCGCACTATTCTCCACTCGCTGGTGCATAAAAGACGACTGCGGTTGTGGACTCGGAGCTTTGGATATGATGTTGCAACCACCGAGGGGGAGGGAAGTGAGTTTTTATGAATGGGAGGGTAGAGGAAAGGAAAGGGACGGCACTGCGCAGATGCCTCGTCTTTTTTTCTCTGTTTTTTTGTGAATGGCAGGGCCGCGCGACTGGGGAGGGCTGAAATGCGGATGTTACATTTTTATGAATGGGGAGGACTCCGAATAGCATTGCGCAGGCGCCATACCTACGTTTTTATGAATGGGAAGAAATAGCGAATGAGGCGTGTGTGTAAGAAAAAGGAGGGGGCGAGGAAATGAGAAGGAGGTGGGTTTTTTTTTTGGTCACAAGGGCAATGTCAGGCCTGATTTACATAAAGAGTGGGCTCTGATGTCCCCCCCACCCTTTTATCCCCCTAATTTATTTATATACGAAGCCAGCGATGCTACATGTTGTTATGATTATAATATGGTAACAGAAAGGCGATAGAGCGGAATATGAGTGGGCCAAATCTGCAATGAATTAATTACTTTTTTTTCATTGAAGGCAGATATGATCTCTGGTATTGATTCTGACGAATGGATGGCGACCTGTGTCTAATGGAAAACATGCAGATGCAGAAAAACAATACATACCAGAATCTGCGAGAATATAAAACGTTTAATAAATATAGTGTACGTCTGAGGTTTATTTTTTTGCCTCATTCAGCGGATTCTCAACGAGGATATCAAGATACCGGAGGTCACATGCCTCTGCTCGATTAGACTTCATAATAGCCGCTCCCCTTGTGTTCCTGTTCCAGCTAAAGACATTTATTGCGAACAAGGACGTGCCCTTCCTTCCTCGGCAACAATGTGAGGTATGACTACAGCCTCTATGGCAATGTTAAAAAAAAAGAAAGAAAAAAAAGGAGAAGATGAGGAGGAGGAGGAGGGGTAGGAGAACGGCGGGGGGTTTAACGCCTACTCTGAAACACAAACCAGCATGAGGGCAGGCAGGATTCACAAAAGGACAGGATGTTGTTGATTTGTACCGAAACCACACGGAGGAAATGAGTGCGAATTTCCTTTCTCACTGACATCCTAGTGTGTGTGTGTGTGTGTGTGTGTGTGTGTGTGTGTGTGTGTGTGTGTGTGTGTG